ATGATGATCATCAAGGAGTCGGCAAGTTGAATCCACCGTGCATTGGGAACATCTCGCGTGAATAATAATAAATAAGTATGGGAGATGTTCCCAATGTATGATAGGATGTGTGTGTGAAGCGCCTGTGAGGCATCAGGTGTGAGGAGCAGATCTGGTCTCGCCTTTTTTATCTAGGTGAATGGAATTGTGTATATAAATTGTATTATTTTCTATCTATCAAGGTAAGTTTTCCTCGTTATCATTTTTACCATTATACTTTTTTTTTTAAAGCTTGTTTAATATACATTTTTATCTCATTAGTTTTAGCATTTTCCCTTTAAGGACCCGCTTGCTTTTTGGTAAGTTACTTATTTGGGCAAATGCAGTTATCTAGGTAAATTTTTCTTAGGAAATACTTAAAAAACTTACCCAGGTAAGTGCATTTACCCATGTTCTTTTATTTCTCATGTAAATAAGGCAATGACTATTTTAGTCATAAAAATCCATAATTAAAAAGAGCATTTTTGTCCCATTCAAGTGTTGGCAACTTTCCCCCTAGGTGGGAAAGTTATTTACCCACTTATAGTAGATTTGATGTTAGAACTTGTATGCATTAGTAAATTGATTGGATGCTGAATTAGTCGTTTCAATTAAACTCCTATTATTATATGTATTATGTGTAGTAAAATATTATAAAGTTTATAGTTAATTATATGTATGTATAAGTTAAAAAATAATTAATACTTTTAATTTATTGTCATTTTGAGCACAATAAAATGGTTGCGGATTAAATTCATCCAATCTAAAGATTTGATAATTGGATCAGATGTGGATGTAGCTGAGTCCAATTCAAATGTGGGCTTGAGTCGAAGAATTTGGATTAGCTAAACATTTTAGCTATGTAATAGGCTGCGGAATCAATGATAATGCCCCACACAAGATACATGGGGCCCATAATGAGAGGTTGAATGGTTGTGAGTCTCATGTATTTAGTTACTAGTTTAGAGTGTTATATTGGTTCCACAACCATCTGAGCAGCTATTGCGTTAGGGGTGTTCACGGTTCAATTAACTCCCATTTTTTCTTATTAAATTTTATATTAAGTTATTTTTACTAATAAATGATACTAATTAGATCTATGCCAGTATTTTTAACAATATAAACTTGTATATTTTAAAACTAACTCAATAACAAAATAATTCTTTATAAAAGTGGTGATTAAAAAATTACAAAATGTAGAAAAAAATTAGACACATTTATGATATTTTTATTAATAATATTAAAAAATAAGTGTAATAAACAAAAATTATTTTTATTGATAATGAAAATTAAATACATAATTTAGAATTGAGAAAAAATGAAATTATTTTACTATCTGGCAAAGATAAGTAGTTCAACTTTTGGGTCAAATTTGTTAGCGTTTAATGTCATAAATTAATTAATTAACAAAAATATAAAAATACAAAATGGAAAAATACATAAATTTTTGCAAAAGAACACTCAAGCACATGTATAATATCATAAGAATATCATATTAAACAAGAAGTAAGTGTGACATATCAGGATTATTTTTACACAGAAATACAAAAAGAATTATAGAAAAATTGAACACATTTATAATTTTATATTTACACTACTATTAAAAATATGAATAAGATTATGGAACATTCTTTTAACTAAAATACTGAATTTTGAATTTAGTCCCTATTTAATTGTGAGGTTTAAATTGTAAATTGAACTACTACTTAGAGGTGTTAATTGGATCAGATTTTGTCAAATCCGATCTAGTCCAACGTGAGCCCATGATAAATGGACCAAGTCCAATCCGGTCCAATTCAATGTTTGGACCATCCAATTTGTTCAAATTCTTTTAATTTAGATTGGTATCAATCCAAACCTGGTCCATTGACACCTATATTCCTATCTTATATCAATTGACCAGATATTGGCTTAATCCAACCCAATCCAATATAAATTTATTACGGACGAACCAGGTCCAATCCAATCTAATAAATATTCTGGACCAGATTGGTCCAATCTAATATGTCTTGTTGTTCCATCAAATCCGTCCAAATTGATTTTGAATTGGATGGGGTCCAGTCCAAAACCGGTCCATTGACACCCATATTACTACTTTTTCACTGTTCAAGTGACACCTTAGTTGGCCGAAGTTGTCACGTGCTCTGCCTTTGTGGCCAGTGACTTTAGACCATGTCACCACAACTGTGTTACAGAGAGGCCTCACGAGGAAGCAAATTCCCGCACAAACAAGGAGACGTAGCCCATTTGGGAGAGCGGGACCTCCCAAGAACCTCGGTGGGCAACTTCATCCCAAAACCTCGTTGATCTCATCCGACTACAACACATGTGTTTGGTCTATATAAAGGTATCTTCTCCTCAAGGTAAGTTCTCTAGGATCTAGCACACATTACTCTCCTCGGCTTGGACCAGCTCTCTACCTACTCGGCCCAACCTCTTTCTCTCTCTCTCTCTCTTCATTACTGACTTGAGCATCGAAGTGCCTACCTGGGGATAAATTCCTCAGGCCTCTGATTTTCTCTATGCTTGTAGACTACAATGTACAACCTTGCCCTTCCACCTCGACCTCGTTCAGTTGATAGGACTATTTTCTATGTATTTGGCTCGACACACCTTAATGATACTTCAAGCTTCACAACTCGAATTGATGATATTTGGATGAGGTGTTTTGTGTACTCAAATTTGGATTTTGCAATTTGCATCCTATTAATAATAAAAATCAAAAAATATAAAAACAAAAATACAAAATACATATTAATATAATTTTTTGATACATTATTACTATCATTATGATCATCTAGAATTGCCGCGTGCAAACATACTTACTAGTATAATAAAATATAGAAATATGTATAAAATATTATATTTTAAATAGTAAATAATATATTATATATTATAAATAATATTTATATATATATCTTATTTATTAATTTATAATATATATAAAATATAAAATATACAAAAATATATATAATATACATAAATATATAAAATATATTGAAATATATGTGTACCGTTTTGGTTCAATTAACAGCTGATTTTCTATATTGGTTAACCGAAACCAAACTGGTACCTTTGGTTTTTTAAAATACTAAACCGCAATTGAACTGACCGGTTCAAATAATTGGATTTTTAGTTTGGTTCGATCGATTTTTCAGTTTGGTTCAATTTTTTGATTGTTTTGCTCACCCCTACGTTCAGCTAATGTTACTCTAGGAAGAAACTGTCATCCCTAGCAAGCATTAAGGTATCGATATGATACTCCAAATACGGGGCGTATCATATCGGTATCCATGATCATGGATATGGGATACGCTACGACTGAATACGTATCTCATGAGTCATGCTTATCAGTATGATATGCCTCCATATTGGGTCGTATCGCACCGTATCRGTGGATACGGTCCAATACACACCGATATGAAGGTGTATCTATGTTTAGTTTGACAAAATTGTACATTGAGTACTTTTGGATTGTTTTTCATCTTTAATACAAGTTAAAAATAGTATTATGAAAAATGAAATAAATAATTTAAGATTTAATTTTTTCAAAAATAAAAAATAAAAAATAAAAACTAAAAATTATAAAAATAATATATTTCATCTACCTTAAATGATGTATATATTTTATTTTACACATAATTATATGTTAACAATGACAGCATAGTTATTATTTGAAAAAATAGTTATTATATAAAAATACTAAATACATAAATTTTCCCAACAAAATTAATGGAAAACAGAAAATTATAATTATAAAAAATGAAACAAATAATTTAAGATTTAATAAAAACTGAAAATTAAATATATTTATTTTATCTATCTTAAATGATTTATTTGTTTTATTTTACAATTATGTGTAAAATAGTTGAAAATTATAGTTGTTATTTAAATAAAATACTAAATTAAGAAATATTCTCAAAAATTAATAAAAATTGAAAATTATAATTATAAATTTGAAAGAATGATAAATATTGTATAATGTTTGAATGTTCTAGGGTCCGGGTATTGTTTATTGTAATATTTCTCTTCATATAACCTATTAAAGTATGCATTTCTCATGTCTTTATATCTTATTTATAGATAATTCAGCTTTTGGTTTAGTATTGTTAATGTATTTATATGATTTATATGCATTTTACTAACATATCCAAGCATTTATATATCTTTCATTCGTATCTATATGTTTCCAAAGTATATTCATACGATTTATCCAATAAGATACCCGATACCTATCACCATGTCTAAGAGGAAAGGGAAAAGAAATAACTGTGATCATGTGAAAGCAATTAATTTGTCTCGAAATGGTGAGCTTTAAATTATTTGCTTTCTCGAAATATTCAAATGAAGCTAATATTATTCCTAAGATAAATAAACGAAAAAGGGGTGGTGGAAGCACTTAATTAATTGGAGAAAGAGTTGAACAAAGTCCTGAGAATGATCAAATTGAAGTGATCCTCAGCCTCAGCCTCAGCTCAGGTGTACCCAGACGTAATTGCATTGTCCTTCTCATATCCTAAACCGCAACTGGTGAAAGCATACCGCATTACTTAATTACCCTCTTGAGTCTTCTTTTTGAATTGTTTAAACCTTGCATCTTCTCATCTCATCCCATTGGTGAGGACCTCTGATCAGTGGCTCCACCTTTCCATCAGTTAATCCTGACCCTCAAAATTTTTGGTCCACCTTGGGCTTATTAAAGAGACTCGGACCTTGATTGTGATCTTCATTGGTCCATTAGATGATGCATGTGTAAGTGTAACTTAATTGATCAATCCAAAGTCTGAGAGGTCTGATTTGTTGCAACAGGGTGATGATAATGCGCACAGAGATAAAGCATGTGCTCAAGTAGATCCTGGCTCAGTATATACACGGCAACCAATGAGGTTTCATTGAACCAGTTTTACCGAAGAAGGTGGTGGTGGTGGTAGTGGCGGTGGACGGTGGTGGGCCTCCAACAAATATATATATTCCAAGGCTTGGTCCCCATGATCTGAAGACAAACAGACACATCTCTCGGCCACTTCAGTCTCTTTAACGAGTTTTCCGTTTTCTMTTTTTTCAATAACTCCATTTCTCCTCCACTCCCCAGCTTTTATTATAAATATCCATTCAAGATCCCTCCTGTGGCATCTTAGTCTCTCTCTCTCTCTCTTCTGCAGAAGAATGGCTGTGTTACTCTTTTCTGCTTGCTTTGTCCTGCTCTCCCTCGTCAGCAGCTCAGTTTTTGCTGCTGCATATCTAGATGGTAACTAATGACCACCCACTCTTTTATTTTGTTTCTTGTTTCATGGATTGCTATCTATTTTATTTTAGATATATAGATGTTTTCTGCTTTTGTATACAGTATGTCATTGGTTGGATTTGTCTGAATTAGTGATTTGGGTACTTGTGTGCATGATGGGTGTGGTCTGTTTTGTTTCATCTACTGGATTTTTGGGTGCTGCAGTGCAGTCTGCTTTCATGAGTTGGCTTTTGTTTTTTTTTTTTTTTTTTTTCACAACCTTTGGTGCTCTGATCCAGTAAGTTGCTGATGAGTTTGCCTGTCTGTGGGTCTGTGTTTTGCTGTCTATTTTGTTTTAGATATATTCATGCAGTCTGCCTTCATGAGTTGGCCATTTGTGTTGTTTCTTCACAACTTCTGGTGCTCTAATTATCAACTGTTTCTAATATAAATATGTACAGTGCAAAGCCTTATATTTTTTATATCTAAATCTGTATTTGTACTGTAAAGATACAAATATGTAGAGTGCAAAATTGTTTTGTATTCATACCGTTTCCGAACTGTTTCTAAATTTCAGTGTGTGGTTTGTTCACTGACATCATCATCTCTTTCACTGCACAGAGCTTCTCCCAAATGGAAACTTTGAAGAGGGGCCCAATCCATCCAATCTGAAGAAAACAGTCATCATAGGGAAGTACTCCCTCCCCAAATGGGAAATCGATGGCCTGGTGGAGTACATATCAGGTGGGCCCCAGCCAGGTGGCTTCTTCTATGCCGTCCCTCGTGGGGTCCATGCAGCAAGGCTTGGCAACGAGGCCTCCATCTCTCAATCTATAGCCGTTAAACCAGGATCATTCTACGCCCTCACGTTTGGTACCACCCGAACTTGTGCTCAAGATGAGGTGTTAAGGGTCTCAGTCCCTCCTTTCTCAGGGGACCTCCCCATCCAGACACTCTACAGTAGCAATGGAGGTGACACTTATGCTTGGGCATTCAAGGCCACCTCCAATGTTGCCAAGATAACATTTCACAACCTGGGGATCCAGGAGGACCCCGCATGTGGGCCCCTCTTGGATGCAGTTGCAATCAAGGAGATTATCTCTCCCCTGCCCACTGGAGGTAAATTTCTAAGCCATTCTTTTCAATTTAGGCCCCGTTTAGTTTTGCAGGAATAGGAGTATAGAATYAGAATCGGAATGAATGATTCTAATTTCAACTGTTTGATTGAGTGGAATTGGAATTCTATTCTCATTTTCACTGGAATGTCATTCAAGGAATGGCCATTCCTTGCTTCTCCTTTTAGAATGAAATTCTATTTTTGTTGAATTTAATTCACGTTGTCATTCCTATTTGAACTAAACAGATTATGGGACTAATTCATTCTGTAACCCAAACCAACCCTTAATTTGTTTTTGATTCAAATAAAATATGTCCCCTGCCGTAGAGATTTGTCTGCAAGATGCATGTGATATGTACAAAGTAATATAGTTGACCAACATGCGCAAGTGCAACAGTAGCTTGTGCGACACAGAATCAGAGACATTATATAGAGTAACTTGGTTATCACATGATACTTATAAAACCATGGGCTCTATGATCCAAATCCATCTACTTAAAGATCTAGATTAAACACAAAAATAGAAATCTGGGGATCCGAAATCAGTATAACAGTTGTTGATTTTCTAATATTTTTATTTGACATTATATAATATAATATAATATGATTTAAAAAATAATTAAAGATTATTTTAAAAATTATTGTTAAGTATTGAAAATGACATGATAACAGCTATTATAGCAATTAATTAATATTTATGTGATTTGGCATTTTAAGGACCCTGATTTATAGCAAAGTTGTTTTTCAACTTCTCTAAAATCCAGGATTTCTTATACATGAAAATTTAGTATGGAGTCCAAATTGTTTTTGGCCCAACACACTTGTGAATGTGTCAGTAATAGGTCCTTTTAGGGTCCAAATTGGTTATGGTTTTCTATATGGCTGGAAACAGATTGGATTCAACCCAATTCAAATTAGAATCTGATCTGCTTATGTTGGGTTTGGATATCCATTTAACCATGATCGGCTTAGATCATATTGGATTTAAAAATGTAATCCGTTTGTTAATTGATTCAAATCAAAATATTGCTCGATTCGATCCACTAGGAACTAATATATTGACTATTAGGCCCTTATAAAAATATTGACTATTAGATCTAAGTTCAAATACACCCCTATTTAAATTCAATTTGGTCTATTTACAGAAATAACAATTGGACTAGTATTGACTAGGGCTATTCATAAGAATGCTTAACCCGACCAAATTGATCAACTCGGACCGACCCAATTTGAGTCGGCCGGGTTTTCATCAGTACCGGTAGGTTTCGGGTTGGGAAAATATATAAACCGATATATCGGGTCGGTTTCGGTTTTCTTGTGTGAAAACCGAAACCAACCCGACCCTAACCGAACTAGTCTTCTACTAGTTCGGTAGTTCCTAGTTTGCGTAGTTTCCTACTTAACTATAACTAGTCTTCTACTAGAACTAGAAGGCCCATTAGGCAATTACAATTAGAATTCAATTAGGTGTTCTTTTGTACAGGAGCAAAACCGAAACCGACCCAACCTGACTCAAACCGACCAGGTCGATTTGGCCTATCAGTGGGTCGGTTTCGGTTTCCACCTCAGGTAACTCGACTAGGTCGGGTTGGTTGGGAAAACCCCAATAAACCGACCCAACCCGACCCGTGAACACCCCTAGTATTGACTCAATTTTTTGAGAGTGAATTTTAGATTAAAATCATAGCTTTAAACAGCTAATATTTGTTGAAGTCTTGAGGAAACCACCAATATAAGGTGAGGGTTTGGGCTGATGCAAATGAGATTATTCGATCAACATTTATCAACACAAATGAGAGTATTAAAATGAGAGTTCAGATCTGCCATATCATCTCATTACATGATAGAAATAAACTTACTATTTAAGGAAGCTCCCTACTAGCTTGATCCCATTAGGAAACACTGTCTTTAATATTATTACGAGTTGAGTGGCACCAGAATTTGCACATGCAAGACAAATGAATAGAGTGTAGAGAGAGAGAATGCAAATTTCAAATTATTATTATTATTATTATTATTTAGGCAAACTTCTTGTAAATGACCCCAACAAGAAAAAGTATATTCTTCATCTTGTAAATGATAATACCAGAACTGATGATATCATCATGGGAAGATGTTCTCAATACAGGGCAGGAATGTGCTGTGGGGCGTTGTGGGGCGGCCCCTTATAGGGCCGAGGTGTGATCTCATGATAAGAAGGCTACACAAGATCTCTAATCATGAAAAGATAAAAATGGAACTACATTGTCTTTTTCAGGAAAATACTTTTTGATTTTTAAGTAGGAATTTGCCCCTTCGTATATTAAAGCAAGCCCATGACCCAGATAATACTCATTTCCTAGTCACTAGTCAAGTTGGCCAACTGAAGAAGCTTGTTCTAATTAATTATTCACTTTTTCTTCTTTTCTTTTCTTTTTATTTGGCAGGTAACTTGGTGAAGAATGGTGATTTTGAAAATGGGCCTCACCTGTTCAAGAACTTCTCAACCGGGGTCCTCATCCCTCCCAAACAACAAGATCTCATATCCCCACTCCCTGGTTGGATCATAGAATCCCTCAAAGCAGTAAAGTACATAGACTCAAAGCATTTCTCTGTCCCATCAGGATTTGCTGCAATTGAATTGGTTGCAGGGAGAGAGAGCGCCATTGCCCAAGTGCTAAGAACAGTCCCTGGCAAACTCTATGAGCTCACATTCACAGTTGGGGACGCCAAGAATGGCTGCTATGGATCGATGATGGTCGAAGCTTTTGCAGCTAACGAGACCCTGAAAGTTCCATTCCAGTCTCATGCAAGTAGTAGGTTCAAGACTGCAAGTCTGAAGTTCAAAGCACTTGAGCCCAGAACAAGGATAACATTTTACAGTGGGTTTTATCATACAAAGCTTCATGACTATGGCACCCTTTGTGGCCCTGTCTTGGATCATGTTAGAGTTTTCCCTGTTTCGTAGGTGGTGTTTGGTAGTTGGTACCATTCCAATGGCATTTCATGTCAAAATGCATGAAATTTATTTGATTGGTTCTTATTCTGATTAGGTGTTGAACAAGTGTTTTGAACAGTATTGTGTTTAGTATTGGTATTGCCACCTAAAACGTTTACACCTATTAAATGTTTATATTCAATGTGACACCACTCTATTGCTCTATGCTTCTAATGGCTCTAGAAGCCTAGAACCAAAAATAGAACCTTTGTTTTGGATGTAGGGTTATGTGAATTTCATTGTGTACATCTATTTATCTTTGCTAATATGTCATGCACCAAAAGACATGCCATGTAAGATGCCAACTGAGCTTATGTGGTTTTGTGGGAGTTTCGTGAGAGGCGTTTTGATATACGGGTGCTATGCCATTATCACACTAGCATTTATTTCATCATATTAATTTGTATACATCGATATTGGTAAAAGTTGGTCTTGATTTATGTGTGTGTTAATTGTTGTGGGAAGTTTCATTTTAATGCTTCTCCTAACGTTTAAGCGTTTATTAACTGTTTTGCTGATGTGGTGCCTAATAGTGCCTAATTGTCTCAATAAACGGTTTATCAACTACTTTTCTCGGTTTTAATGTCAAATCAAATATAAACGTTTATTTAATAAATGCCCACAAATAGAAGAAACATCAACTCACTCATGATTCCATCGCCATCAATAGAAGGTATCCATTTATCCTCCCAAATAGAAGTGTCATTGTCTTTATTAATGAGCCAACGTACGGGTGCCATGCAAAAATACATCTTTGCCAGGTAGGATACTCTTCCAACCCCAACTTCGCCTTGTTGGAATGYTATTTATGAGGAAATTTCCATTCTTAACATATTTGGCTTTGATCATTTGAACCCACAAAGGGCGGTTTCGTTGGTTTCTAGCCTCCAAGCAAGCTTGGCCAATAAAGCAATGTTAAAACCAGTATGGATTGGATCTTCAAACACCCAATGCCCCCACTTAACTTGTTTCTAGAAACCTAGTCCCCCGCCAATCAATTTACTTTGTTCCTTTCATTTTCATTCCTACCCCATCAAAATTGTCTTCGCATTTCACTATTTCAGTCATCTCTTATTGTTGTGATCACATTTAATGAGGACTTCCTTACCAACTTGGGAAAGAAATTTCTCATACAAAGAACTAGTCTTGCAAGAAACCATATCTATAAAGGAAGTGAACATTTTGGGTTTCCATTTCACAAGCTTAATGGGTAATCCAAGATATTTTGTAGGGTGATGCATTTTTTTAGGTTTTAAGGCTCTTTAACAGAATTCTCTTGGACGTAAATTAGTCTGTGTTTGGAAATAATGCAAATAGAGTGTAAATCCCGGTTTAGGGTAAATTTGTATTCTAGTTCACTTTTTTGCCCGTATTTAGCAACATTACATTTATGCATTGACAAATGACCACTAGGATCATATGGGTCTAAGCCGGTGGTCGTGGCGGTCTTTAATCCGCCCCCTAAACCTCTGCTGGCTTAGGTTAAGACCACTGGCTTAGACATAAAAGACTGCCGCCCTTGGAGGCTGGTCCGATGCGGTTCAATCGTCCCTAAAGCGGCAGTATATCAGAACCGTCGGCTCAGCGTTAATAAAGGCGGTGGTCCTGACCGCCGGCTTAGATCTTAGACCGCCACCTTAGGTCAGGCTTCTTCCTTTTTCAGTGGTGGTCTGGACCGCCGCCTTTGTTTTTTTTAATTATTTTCATGAATTTGATTTCAGCATTTTTTTGGGTACCTGTTTAATACAAATATTGTGGCAGATAATACATAAAAATCAATTTAAATAAAAAATGCAAATAAAAATATAACTTTTAGTTAAATATTAATTATTACAATATCCAAAACAAATTGCTTAAATACAATATCCAATTGACATATACAAAAATACAAGGCATTTAAAAAAGCCTTCTTGAATAATGTAACACTTCTTCCAATGCAAATCCACTTGACATAATGGTTTAACCTGCAAATCATAACATATAAATTGTTAGATGATGTAAAGTAAATGAGATATCAAATATAATTCATAATGAAATCACTAAAGGAATGAATTAATCATTTATAGCAGCTTAAACATTTCCCTACATGCCATATTAAGGTCTGAAATCCCTATAAATTGCCATTTAGCAAGTCCAGACACCCAAGGTACTTCTTTCCCTTCAATTCATCCACCCAATTGCCACCTATAAATTCCCTTCCATTCATCCACCCAATTGCCACCTATAAATTCCCTTCCATTCATCCACCCAATTGCCATCTATTAAAATCCCCATCCACCTCCAACTTTCTGAGATTCAAAGAGACAAGCATTTGCTCTACTTAGATTAAGCTCACCTCTCCACAGTGGTTTCTAACTGCTCCCCATTTACAGGAACTAAAGTAGTTCATCTTTTTGGAAGTCTTATTCTCAGTGAATTCTTGCTTCAACACCTCCATTAATTCAAATTTTACC